TCACATACTATAGAGGATGTTCTGCAGAATAAATGCATAGAAAGATAGCACTGTGGGGTACATCAGATGACATGTCACTGTGAAAGAGAAATGTTTCCAAGTTGACCTTGATGTGGCTCAGGGACGCTCAAGAACACATATCAGACGGGGGAACTGAGAGAAGGCTCCCTATCGCTGGCACTGGGAATAGACCTAAAAGGAACAACAAGTTGATTATCTGACCCACAATTAAACGGCCACACGGCATGCAAAGGAGAAGGAAATTCAGCTACACATCTCTCATGAAGGTTAGTGAAAATTACACAGAGAGATCACAACATAAGGTGCAGAAAATCATGGGTTATGAAGTGGTTTATTTTGCGGGTCGAGCCTGCGATGCCAGCCAGGCGGAGGAGGCTGATAGCTACTCCCCCCGCCTCCCCGGTATTAATGAATGATCAGCGTCCATCCCCCTCCACACACACCCTGCCCCCCACCCCCACCCCCACCCCCACCCCTCACACTGCGTCCCAGCGTCATGGGATGACTAATCCCCGAGCAAGGAGAAAATCACCGAGCGCTGCACATCGTCTCCCGGAGCTACAGCCGACATCCCACAGGGATTTGGGAGGAAATGTAACTTCATTCATCTGTTAAGCTGTGTTAAATGATCTCTCACCTCTTTGTCTTCTACAGGGAATGTCTTTGACCATTGAGGAAATGTAACCACACTGCCAGGGTATTGCATGAAGGAAAAAAACAATCTGACCTTGAGAGATGGCTGGCGTAGGGCAAATTTCCCCCTCCTCCGAGCCCTCCACTAGTGTCTGTGAAACGCAGTGAGAAAACACGACCTGGTGTTTTGGACAGTCGCTGAGTGCCCTAGTGTACGCCTGAGTCCCCATTTACGCCTCTTTGCCTGGCGTAGTTATTAATCGCGACCCCCATGCTCTCAAAAGATCTGGTTTGGATAGAAAATTCTATGGTCCCCCAAGTTTTAGGACATTTATTCTACAGCCATGGTGACCCCTTCCTGTACTGTCTGGGACAGTTTCTGTTCTCATCCGTGCCTTTCAGGTGCAGCCCGTGGCTCTACAAGGGAAGAAAGACAAAAAAGGTGGTCAGGTCCACACGCCTTCAGAAATTAAAAAATTCATTAACAGCCCCGGCTGGAGTGGCTTGGTTGGCTGGAGCATTGTCCCATATGCCGAAAGGCCATCGGCTTGATTCCCAGTCAGGGCACATGCCTGGGTCAATCGTTCGGTCCCTGGCCGGGGTGTGTGCAAGAGGCAAAAAATTGACGTCTCTCTCTCACATCAAGGTTTCTCTGCCTCTCTCTATCCTTTCCCCGTCTCTAAAGTCAATAAGCATGTCCCTGGGTGAGAATAAAATATAAATAAGTATAAAAATTTCTATTTATATTTGTTTTTAAAATGTTCATTAACCTGTCTCGTGTGTCTTCCTGTGCTCTCTCTGCGTTTTGTGCGCTGCGTTCTCTGGCACGCACTTCCTGTAGAAGTGCCAGGAATAGGCCGAGCAGGATCACTGTAAGGGTATTTTCATAGAGAAATGGGCAGCGGAATGCTTCTCCCTGCTTGTCTGGGTGCAAAGCATGATATATTTTATTCTTTCCAATGGAAAGGAGTTGAGGTCCTACTACTCATTGACATGGGACCGTGAAGCCGAGCAATGCCTCAAATTATAAACATTTACTAAGTCACTACCGTGTGCCCGGCATTCTGTTATTTAAAAAAGAATGACTAAGATGTTTGACTGGATCTCAGAGAACGCACGACCCAGTAATGGCGAACACCACGTTGAGCAGTCATTCCATGTGGCGTATGTCCTGCGGAAAGTATGTGAAGGGGCAGTGGGTGAAGAAGGTGACATTAAGTCTGGGTCGGCAGGTGGGGGAAGGTTTTACAGAGAGGTCACTGAGGAGGTGACATGGGGACTGAGTTTATGTGGAGGGGTGAAAGCATCCATTTGTGTGAGGGACCCTGGGTCGATGGTGTTGCGCGGGAGTGGCTGCCGTTATACTGGCCAGCTGGCACGGTCCCCAGAATACCGCCGCTGCTCCCAAACTCTGCCTTCCGTAGCGGAAAACCTTTGTCTTCCTCTGATGAAGATGGGGAAATGATGGCCCATCATTCTACGGCGGCCAAAATTTGTCAATTTGTCCCTATGTCTTCAAAGAGAGTTTCAAAAGACTGCGATAAAGTGCTCTCCTAGGTTTCTCCCTGTCAAACCGACTTCCTATAGTGCGCTCTCGGAGGCGTTATTTTACTTATTTAGAAACAATTACCTTTCCTTTTCTCTTCTGCGCTTCCATCAGGATATGGCTCCCACCACACCCCCTTCTATTTCGTACTTAAGTGGCACTGCAGTGCGTATGTATATATGTCTGGCTAGTCGTATCATTCCCAAATGCCATGCTTATTTAATCATATCTCAGTGTCGTGCTTAAAACAAGGTGTCGTAAAGGACTCAGTAAGTGCACGTGAATGAAAGAAACCCTTCACTCTATTCTTGCAGTTACGGTGCTGTTTCATTCTTTAGTCTCCGATTTTTCTCTCTCCTCAGGGCTCCTTCCCGCCTCTGGCTACACGAAATTCTGTTTCCCATCATCTCCCCTCTACGTTTTCTCCCGTGCTGTTGCTACTTGTACGATTTTAAGTTTCCCCTCCGTGTAGTGCCACCTAATCCATGTAAGTGTTTGGATGGATTAAATAGTCACCTCCGCCCTCGAGTTTTGCCCCAGGCTTTATCGCCCGTGGTCTTCCCCTTGCACATCTAATCCACAGGCAAGCCCCAGACACTGTAGCTGTAGTTAAAGAATGTCCCTCACACCTTCGCCTCCCCCCCGCCCCCCCGCCCCGGCCCTGCACTGTCCTCTCCTCTTTCCATGGTACTGGTTCTCTGATGGCTTTCCCACCTGCCAAGTCACACCCACGTGTAAGCCAGCTTGTGCACTGATGCCCGTTTAGCGCTTCTGAAATAGCCCTTGACTGAAACCCTCTCACCCATGGTCCATTTACATGCCATAGTCACCTGGTTCCTTGCTGCCTTTCAGCTTCCTTGCCCTCTGTCCTCTGTTACGAGTCTCTCTGCTTGTAGAGCGAGTCTGTGCGGAGCTCTGAGGTTAGAACGTCTGGACTGGAATTTTGGTTCTGTCACTGGTAGTTCTGTGATCGTGGGCAAGTCGTTTTCCTAAAAATGGGATAGTACTTAGACCTATGAAATGGGGATAGTAGTTAAACCTACCACGAAAAAAAATTGTAAGGACTAAACAAAGAAAGGGGTCCATAGGTATTAGCCATTGATAGACTCCATTTAAAGGGAACTATTGGCATTTCCTATGCGCATCCTATAATTTCCTACGCCTTGTGCTGTCCTCATGTTAGGTGTGTTTTCAGAATGTTCTCCATCATTATCCATTTCTGTTTGTTTCGATCTTACACATGTACACCCACGTGCATTACATAGCTCTCCGTGCGGCTTCAGGCACCCCCCGCCCCAACAATGTCCACTCCAGCTCTGAGAGTCCCATCGCCTCCCCAGCCCTCTCCCACAGGAGCTCGCTTGTATTGCTACCTTGTATGACAATTATGTGTATGCATCTCTTTGCTCTGAAAATATAGGGGGACACAGGAACCGTTTGGATGAATTTGTGCATTTCCCTCTGTGTCTAACCAAAGTAATATTAGATACCATGTTTGTTGAGTAAATGAGCGATTATTCCACCTCCTTACTTGCCTTCGTCCTGGTAGTCAGGACGAACCTCGCCAAAATTAGTATCGTCTCTTTGCTTAGCCATCCCTTTGATACCCTCTCTGCCCTAACCCCGCCCCCATGCCATTTCCTCCCCCTCTTCCCTCCTGCAGACCCTCCGCTCTCTACTCTTCTTCACTCTCTTTTCCACTCCCCTCTCCCCTTTCATCTCCTCCTCATCTTTTTCTTTAATTCTGAATTCCTACTTTTTCAAATTTCCTCTGCACACTCACATAGCCAAGCTCTACGGGCACAAAGGGATACTGCTTCTAAGAGGAGATGTTTTCTGATCATTTTGTCTTACTTTGTCAAAAATGATAGCGCATGTAGCATCCAATCATAATGCTATGACTCACCTGAGGCTCTGGGAAACAAGCAATTGTTAAATGGCAAATAAAAATAAGCCCCACTTCTTGTGAGAGGTAATCTCATAAGAACTTTTTGATTACATGTTCGGATGTTTGTAGTGCATCTTGAGGACAGTTTGTCTTTCTGGAAAAGGGAAACAATTTTAGAATTAGTGTCATGAGATTTTTTTAAAAGAGGAATTTGACCAAAGGTCTCCAAGAATAAATTCTTAAGTAATTTTTTTCGTTTATTTTTTACTTGGATTTTCTTTATTCTGACTTCTCTCTCCCTTTTTTTCTTATTTACAGTGCTATTTTGATTTAAGTTCATTTCCTCCAACATCTGAACTGTTCTCTTCCCTTAATTAGTATCCTATTCCTTCTTCCTAAATCTGAAAATCATCAAAAACATCACATTATGTTATGTTTGCCATTTCTGCACACCTTGAAATGTTTCTTGTCTTGCAGGAATGTTCTTATGAGTTCTTTTAGCAACACCAGTTGTAACCATGTAAATCAAATTCCTAATTAAGATGGAGCCTGCACAAAACCAGTGTCATCTACTTGTATTAATGAATATGAAACTGAAAAAGAGAGTATTGCTTACTGTCCCTGTGTAGGATGGAGGGGTGCAAAGTTAACAAAATCGAATGGTAGATGGGAAAGTCAAACTTGAATTCTTATTTTATAATCTGAATTCCATTGTGATCCCAAACCACGTGTGAAGTTTGACAGCTTGGCATCCTCTCTGCTCATGTTTCCTCCCTGAGCCATAGGGGGCCAGCCGGCTAGAACGTCGTAGGCGTTCCGGGGGTCCTGCGTGCCAACGCTCTGCACGTAGTATTAAGGGACTATCATCGGTAGTTAATTTGTTCTCACATTGGCATTTCTTTTCCAATTTAGGGGAGAAACTTAGCATCTGGAGAGGTCGGGTTTTTTCCAAGTGACTCTGTCAAGCCTTGTCCATGCGTAAGTATGAGTGTTTTATTTCTTATATTTTGTTTTTGAGACTGCAATTAATTGTGCAAGAATGTAAAACGGACACTGGTCTGGTTGCTCTTTAATTTTGTTAATAGTTTCTGGAGTGATCATACTATGTCATGTTTAAATGTTATGGCTGATGCTATTAAAATTCCAAAGTCATTGTGATTTGATTGTCAGAAAATATTTTTAAAAGTCAGGGGAATATAGGCAAGAAGAAAATTTAACCTAGTAGAATTTACAAAATTAAATTGTCTGCAAGGTTTTTGGAAGAATGATCAAAGCTACAGATTAGATGCACTGGACAAATGTCTCTTTTCCCACTGAGGTTAGATGGTGCGGTCTAATCTATTCCCAGTCACACTGGGTCACAGAGAGATGTCGCACTTGAACTGCTGTGTTTGAAAGCACGCCAGGAAGGACGGAAGTTGCAACTTTTTCACTCACGTCTCTGAATACATTTTACTGTGTTTTAGTTTTGTTGTTACTGTTTATTTAATGTTATTTTCTGAAAACATCAGACACATTAGGTAGATACAAGGAGAGTATTTACTCAAGTATTATTATGGATGAATATAACATAACATGTATTATCCACTGGTTTATGAAATTTATACATTTCTGTTTAGGGGGAACATTATCATCATAGCTTGGTATTTACGGTGGCTTTTTCTATAAAACTTTTAAAGTTCTTGACTCAAGATAGATACAATGGGGCATTTTTGTGCCACGTTCCGTCTCTCCCGAAGTGCTGAGATGTACAGAGGGGAACCTGGAGCCGAGGAGGAACAGGAAGGAGATTGCACCACTTCTGGCGGTGACTGGAGGCAGAGCCCCGAGCTCTGGGCTAACATGCTATATCTGCAGGAATGCAGGGCGGGGGGCGGGGACGGGGACGGGGACGGGGGCAGCGTGCGGTGAACAGGAAGGGAACCGTCCGTCCTACGGGAGATAAGCCTGTCTTCCTTTTGCTTCTCTGGTTGGGAAGGAAATACAAAGCACTTCCGTGTAAGAATTTTTAACCTTAGATCTGAAAACAGCTCCATTGTGAGCTGGAATTCACACCAGCTCTGAGACCGAAGGAATTCTAAGCGAAGTGAACGGAAAGCGCGCTTCCAACTGCCCCATCTAACTTTTATGTGATGCACTGCAGGAAGAGGCATCTATCTTATGTAGTTTATATGCAGTAATCCCTGCGAAATATTTTTTGAAACGATCTGTCCATAGCAGGAGTTTCACCACGGTCTATGATAAAGGCAGAAAAAGGCAGTAGGGATAAATGGTCCGAAATAAGAATATGTTCCAAGGTGGGAGAGTTTCCAGAAGAACATGATCTGTGGTCTTATTTATGAAACGTCTGTCCAGACGGGACCCACAGCACCCATGAACAGAGTGGGGATAGATTGACTTAGGAATAAGCGTACATTTAAAGACCACTGAGAGGGTGAGGGAAGAAGGAAACCTTTTCCCCATCAAATGTCTGAGGCTGTGGATATCTTACTATCAGAAGGGAAACTGTTGAAGATTGATTTCTATTTATAAAAACAAAGTGGCATAAGAAAATGCTTGCAGGATTTGAATGGGTGTAACTTTCAATATTATTTGTGATATATCAGGATTTTATAGGTGGTGAAATTAGAAATGTAACTCCTTGGTTCAAAATATTTAAATATTGATAACTTTAGAGGTGTTCTGAACAGAAAGGTAATTTTTTGATATGTAACTCAATCTGAAAGGACAAAAAAGTTAACACCCTATTATGAAAACAAGCATATTCACATTGGCCAGACCTCTGAAATAGGATCATTACTACTGTTAAAAATGATGGTGACAATATTTTTAATCACTGGATATAAAAAGGGCCCAGGAAAACCATGGCATGTATACACCAAAGACTCACATGGTTCATGAAAAATTTCTGAACACGAGATAACCTGTCTCTCCTCCTAGTTTTTTTCTTAGGAGTTTCTCAACTTTGTCCACCTCTGCATAATATGTATTTTATTTGTTATTTTATAACTATTAGTATACCTTCCTTGGCTTTGTTCATTTTCTAGTTTCCATAAGCAACCAGAAGTTTTCTTTCTTTTTCTTTCTTTATTAGCACAGAAAATGTAACACTGTTCTCTTTTGCAAAGCTCTATAGGAGAAAAGGGAAAAATGAATATTCTCCATGACACTTTCATGAGTAAAAGGCTTTCCAGGTAGCAGACTGCAAAAACCAGAGTTTAGAATTTGTGGTACAAAACAAGAGGCGATGTACAGTGTATATTGTTTGTTTTGCCCGTTCCCCCGAAGTCTTGGCAAAGCAAGGTGCTGTTTCATTTTCCTAACATGTTGCTTTTAATCTTCTGTGATAGGATTAAACTGCCTTGATAATAAATACCAAAAGTTTCCAATTCATATTTCTCCTGTTATCTCTCCCCTTGGAGGTACAGTGGCAGTAAAATTAATGAAAGAATGAATTAAAGCGAGATGAATTATTTTCTACTTATCTGACATATACTGTGATTCACTCTGTATGAAACTGCCAATGGGTAGTTTCAGGACTGTGTTGCTTAGGGTTTTATAGCTGAGTCAGCGGAACCGAATTAATGATTGATTTCTAAAAGCTTCCCTTAAGTAAACTTAATCTATTTTTGCCTTTTTATATCCTAGGTGCCCAAACCAGTAGATTATTCTTGCCAACCTTGGTAAGTATTAAAAATGTTTATGCAGCTAAGGGGGAATGCCATACCCTCTGTTCGAGGACACTTTAATGTGAGGGTGCTAATCCACATTCCATTTCCTTCTGTTGGACAGAGGTGTTTTCAGACGTCACAGAATGCCATAATGAATTTTTATATTGCTGACCTTTCCACATGTTTATCAGAGTGGCATGTGTGGGCGAGTGTGCACACACATGCAGACGAGCGTGGCTGTGAACTCAGCGTCTGTGACAGCCACAGGCAGGAACGGGACCTGGGCAAATAGGCTTCTTGCATTTTAGAAAAGTAGATGCCATGAAGCAGAGGAAAAATTAAGTGTGATTTCATTGTCTGAAACTAAAAGGTAGCCTAGGAAGATAACAATACGATTTATAACATGTCCTATGGGCGGAGCAAGATATATTCACATCTGAAGTTGGGGGTCTGTACGGAGCTCACTGACCACTTGGGGGTAGTGTTACCATTACTCGAAACAAGGAAGCAAAGTGGGTAGCGATCATTGCTTTGCAGACGTGATGTGCTCACAGAACAGTGATGTCTGCACCTGGATCCGGACTAGTTGTGGCCATCACATGATAATAAGTAATATACACTGACTGCTTACAGCGTGCTCAGTACTTTACACCTTCGTTTAACTTTGCTCTGGCAGCACCTCAATAAAGAAGGTTTGTTTTATTCTTTCTAAAGATGAGGAAACAAAGGTTCAGGCCATGCAACTAGTAAGTTAGAGCCAGGATTCCAAGCCATGCCTCCGTACCATGCTGTGCCGCTTGTCAAAGTGAAAAATGGGCATGTCTACTTATTTATCTCCATTTCCCTATATTTTCTGTTTGGCTCTTCTTAAAGTGACTGCATCTCCTTGCATTTTCTTGACAGTGAAGTATATGCATCCAGGTCAGATATGAAGACATGTATATAAATGAAATATCCCGCAAGGATATGGTACTAATTCAGCTTGTACGTGTGGAGAACACCTGAGTTGTCTGATGTTCTTAGAACGTTCAGGTTATTTCCTGTCACCTAACCATAGCAATGGAAAATGCCAGGGATACCGTGATGAGAATAACAGAGTGGAGAGTGAGCGATGCAGAACACTCTTTAGAGAGGATGGTCAGAGATGACCGCTCTCTAATTAAGAGGGCTGAGAAGAAAGGGTGTTGATAGAGGATGTTCTTCAGACAGGAATAGAGCCTCCGCAAAGACTCTGAGACCACAAGGAGCTTGGCGAGTGTTGGAGGCTAGTGAAGGAGAGGTTGTAAGAGAGGAGATGAAAGTGCCAGGTGTGAGTAGGATCAGACTAGGCACTAGTAGTTCATGTGTCGTCATAACTGGGCCTCTGACCCAAGGCGCCATCTGCGTAAGATGCCCTCAACCCTGCTTTCTTGATGGAAAGCTCACCTGTCCTCCTTCAATGAGCTCTCGTTGAATGCTCCCCGTGCCTATTTTAAGTAAATATTTAGTGTATGGTAGAGGTATAGTATGGTATAGTACAGTACAATATTTACACTGTTACATGTATCTATAAGTAAATCAGAGTCTTTTTCTGGAATAGTAATTCATGAATAACTTTGAAAGAGAGCCAATCTAAACATAAAACTTATTGCCTTTATCTTTGGTTGCCCCAAATTTCTGATATATTTTGTCAGTAAAGGCTAACTAAGCCTATATGTGCTGTAAAAGATCACTGAAGACTCTTCTAAACATTGAATTTGGGCCTTTTATAATTATTGTTATTGGTATGGAGTTTGAATGTGGTTAAGCCAACATAGTTTATGAAGAACTGAATTCTGCTTTTGAAAAAAATATTTTAAAAATATATCTGTACTCAGTACTACTGACTGCTTAAGAAAACTTGTCAAAAGTGTGGACTACAAGAATTAATCTTATATCCAAAAATTATTTTAAAAAATAATTTAAATTGTTACTGGACTTTTCTTGAAAAAAAGTGTTCAAAGTAGATTTCGTTTCATAGTGTCCTCAAAGATAAGTCCCTTTAGCATTTCATATATATAATAACGGCAAGGGGGAGGCTTTGGCGCTGTGTGAATGTGCACGTGTGTGTGCCTGGTGCAGGGTGGCCCCTCCCAAAACTCTATATGACAGACACCCTTTTGAATCCAGTACCTATTGACTCCTCTCTCTGTTTCATTTATTTATCTGACAAATATTTCCTGGGTGCTTACTGCATATTTAGCGTTGTTCACTTTACTCTTGTTAACTTTGTGGAACATCTGTGCTTGGAAGAATTTAAGGACGTTTCTCTGCATTATTTTATTTTTTTTTTAAAGGACTGTAATTAGTTGGTACAGAAGCCAAAAGAGCTCAGATCTGCCACTAAATTAAAAGTTGACAGATGCTTATTTTTTGCCTGTTCTTTTCCTGGTCCATTACGCAACTGTTCTGTGTGATTGTTTCTTACAGGTTCGCAGGAGCTATGGAGAGATTGCAGGCGGAGACTGAACTTATTAATAGGGTCAACAGTACTTACCTGGTGAGGCACCGGACCAAAGAGTCAGGAGAATATGCAATTAGCATTAAGTAAGTAGAATAAGTACTTTTACAGAAATAGATTTCCTGTTTTCATAGTTGCACAGACCACCTGACACGTAGAACACCGAAGTTGAAAACCAAGGTTCTAATTACAGAGGAAATGATGCTCCTATCCAGACAGTTCATTAATACTTGAAAATGTCTGTTAGAAAAACAGTATTAAGTGTTATAGGCTGCTAATTGGCATATGAGATCTCTTTCATAACAATGCATTTTGGTGACTTGATGTGTGTATGTTTTTAATAAATTCTAAGAGTGTAAATTACTAGATTTTTGTATTTCTATATTCTCCAGCGGAACTTACTAAACAAATTGGGCATAATGGTTGGTCAAATCTAATCCCCCTTCTCACTTCAAATATTGGTTGTGTCTTCAACCAATCTAGTAAATATATTTTGTTAATTAGCTGTCACCCGTGTATTGGCATAGGTATATATTTTGTCTTTCGAATTAATTCCTATAACCTTATTGGGGCATGCCCTCCGGTAATTATTGATTTCTACTGATTAAAAACACATTTATATTCATAAGTTATTCATTGCCCACAGGTACAATAATGAAGCAAAGCACATCAAGATTGTAACAAGAGATGGCTTATTTCACATTGCAGAAAATAGAAAATTTAAAAGTTTAATGGTAAGCATTGATTAGTTCTTTTCAATCTGTGGTCTTTATTTTTCTCTTATTAGAAAGGTCAGTTTAATTCTATAGTTTCATGGAAATCCTACTCACTGAAAAGTTGTTTAAAGAGAATCATAGTATAATTTTGTAGCAGATCCTGAAATTTCTCTTTTTTTATTCTATTAAAATTTTTTAAAGTGCATTTTATTGATAATGATATTACGGCTCTCCCATTTCTTTTCCTCCCCTTTCTCCCCCTCTGCCCTGCACCGCCCCCTCCCCCCAGCAACCTCCCCCTCCCTTCGTTCATGTCCGTGGGTCGTACATATCAGTTCTCTGGCTTCTCCATTTCCTATACTGTTCTTAACCTCCCCCTGTCTATTTTGTACCTATCAACTATGCTTCTTCTTCCCTGTACCTTTCCCCCCATTCTCCCCCGCCTCCCTCCCCGCTGATGACCCTCATGTGATCTCCATTTCTGTGATTCTCTTCCTGTTGCAGTTGTTTACTTTGTTTGTTTTTTAGGTTCAGTTGTTCATAGTTGAATTTGTTGCCATTTTATTGTTCAAAGTTTTGATCTTCTTCGATAAGTCCCTTTAGCATTTCATATAATAAGGGCATAGTGAGGATGAACTCCTTTAACTTGGCCTTGTCTGGGAAGCACTTTTTCTGCTCTTCCATTCGAAATGATGGCTTTGCTGGAGAGAGTCATCTTGGACGTAGGCCCTTGCCTTTGACTTTGAATACTTCTCTCCAGCCCCTTGCCTGTAAGGTTTCTTTTGAGAAACTGAAAATTCTAGTTTTAAGAATCCCAATAGTTTTATATTGCCCTATTCATGGTTTTCATTGTAAACTAAGTTTGCAAGTTTTATTATTAGTTTTTAAAGATTTTATTTATTTATTTTTAGAGAGAGGGGAAGGAAGGGAGAAAGAGAGGGAGAGAAACATGGAAGTGAGAGAGACATTGATCAATTACCTCTCGTACACACCCCAACTGGGGACCAAACCCACAACCCAGGCGTGTGCCCTGACCAGGAATCAAACGTGCAACTGCAGGACCACGCTCAACCAACTGAGCCAGACTGGTCAGTGCAAGTTTGCAAGTTTTAGATACTATTTCAGACTCTACAGTATTTATGAATCCGAGTAATAGGCAAATTCAAATATAGTCAATTTTCAGGCATTTGTGTGTTTTGCCTTGTGTTTGATGAAGCCCAGCGAATGTTTAATATGCATCTCTGTCCTCCTCTTCCTTCTGCCGCCTCTGTCTCCTCAGGTAGAGGAAGGTATTTTAAATTATAACATAAAAGTTGCAATCATAATTGGTAAAACACTTCTCACATTCAGGTTTATTTCATACAAGGTGCAATATAATGTCACATACAAAAACGTTTTGTATTTTTTGCTGTTTTATAAATTATCTGTGTTCTACTTTATTACCTTGCACAGTTAAATATTAGCAAGGTAACATTTTTACAACAATCTCATAGGAACTTCATATTTACCATATTTTGCCAGGTATAATGCACATTTTCTTGCCCAGATTTTTGAGGGAAAAATAATGGTGCGCATTATGTATGGGTGTAATGAGGACCTACCATGGGACTAATAATGGGTATAATAATCCCACGTATAATGCACACAAAAATATGGGTGCACATTATACATAGCAAAATATGATAAGTTGAAATAGTATATTGTTCCCATGAAAGAAGATTGCTTTTGTTTGAAAGATTATTTTATTAATTTTTACAATTTAAATAATGACAAGAACTGTTTGCACAACATCAATGTAACCTGGGTAGCCAAGGAGAGTGGACTAGAACGTGTACTAGTGAACAATGATGACTTCACTGTACTAGTCAGTGGGGGCGGTACACGCTGTTGAATGAGCATGTGCACTGTGTGGCTGTCACATTCAAGATGACTGAGCGAGCAGAGCAACAAATCTGCATCCAATTTTGCATTAAGCTTTACTATTCCTCTATGGAAACTATTCAGGTGATCAGAAGGCCACAGCTATGGGCCACAGGTGATTGGCAGCTTCATCATGAGAACACACCTGCTCATGTATTACATCTTGTACAGAGTTTTTTGAGAAACATCAGATCACTGGGCGACTCAGCCCCCTTATAGCCCAGATTTGATGCCCTGCAATTTCTGGCTTTTCCTAAAACTAAAATCACCTTCAAAAGGGGAGAGATTTCAGACCATCAGTGAAATTTAGGAAAATATGATGGGGCAGCTGATGGCGACTGGGAGAACTATGTGAGGTCCCAAGGTACCTACTTCGAAGGGGGCTGAGGCGTCATTGTCCTGTGTACACTGTTTCTTCTGTCTTGTATCTTCTTCAATAACTGTCATATTAAATGGATGGATACTTTCTGGATTTTCTTAACTTTATGTATAAACGATTCATCTATGTCATTATACTGTATATGCATTGCTGATAGTAGAAAAGTTCACATTTCCCTAAAAGTGGTCTCAAGTCTGTTTGTCAGGTTTGAGAGAGTTTCTCTAGAGATAATGAAGAATTTGGAAACAGGACATAAGATGCATTTGCAGTGCTCTGCTGAGCACTTTGAGTAACATCAGGAAGAACCACTCATTGATTGAACCATCAATCAAATGGCACATAACTGCAGCCTTCCGGAAAACATCTCAGAGCACTTTGCAGATGTTAACATCAAAGTTAAACTGAGAGTAAGAGAGCCTGACACAATGAGCCAGCCAGAAAGCCTTATCCGAAAACTTGGAACCACTTCAGGACTCCGTGTTTTTAAGAAAGCGAAGCATCCTGAGTTGAAAGAAGAGTCAGAAAACTCTCCGATATAACTATCACATTCCCCATCCAAAGGCTAAGGGTGGGCAGCAAGATCACCTCCTGGAAAATGCAAACTCTGTCAAATTGGGGGCTGAGATCCAGGCATCCTCCCTGCGGGCAGTGACTCACCTTCCATGGGAACAAGCAGGCTGCGCACCGAGAGACCTGGACCCGAGCATCTTCCTGACGCGAAAACCTGGGGGGCTGGTGGCAAGGGGATGCACAAATAATGAGTCACAGCCCCCGCTGAGACATGATCAAAGCACGCGTGCAGGGGGCGTCTCCTCGTCACCGCAAGACACACCAGCCTGAGCCTGCGCCTGCAGGACTTCCGCGGCTGGTAATGAGGCTGCCGCACAGTGTCACAGCTAACAGGAGACTTCAAAAAAAAAATGCCGTTGGGCCAAAGATGGCTTCCCGCCTTGCCGACTGGGAAAGTAACAAAAAGAACTCCCAGCAGAGGAGACATGCAAACGGGATGAAAGGGGTAGTCGCTGGGAAGGGCCAGACAGTTCAGCTTTGTGTCACCTGGGTTCAGCTCGTAAAGTGCTGCAGCAGCCAAGGTTTGATGGGAAAGCCAGTCACCCCACAGTGACCGGATGAGTGGACATCGGTCCTCGGTTGTGATCTGCATAAGAAGCAACAGAAGCCCAGAATTCAAATATAATTTGTACTAGACAGCAGTGAAGGTTTCGGCAGGGAGGGTCCAGAAAGGGAATTAAAAGTCCCTGCCACAGTAAAATGAGCTACTCTTATAGGGTAGGTGAAGTATCAGAAAACGCCACTGCTAAAGACCCTCACATGTTAGTTTTACCTCAGTATCTGGGGGTCTTCCGTGAGGAAGCGCACAGCACAGGGGGTTCCAGGGAGGGGATTAAAAATCAATAGCAGCCCAGGCGGGTGTGGCTCAGTGGGTTGAGTGCCGGGCTGCAAACCAAAAGGTCGCCGGTTCAACTCCCAGTCAGGGCACATGCCTGGGTGGTGGGCCAGGTCCCTGGTTAGGGTCATACATTCACACCGTGTAAGTACTTTGCGGTCAGCGACTGACCACATGGACGACAGTGGTCCCGTAAGATTAAAATGGAGCCGAAAAAGTCCTGTGCCCTAGTGATGTGGTAGCCACCCTGACGTCGCCCTGCAGCAGGTTCTTGCGTGTCTGTCTGTGGTGGTGCCGGCGTAAAGAAACCGGCAGTGCTGCCAGTCCCATAAAAAGAGAAGTGCGTGCACGAAACTTGCTCACAACAAGGAGCACCCGTGTCACTAGTTTATGTATGTACCATACTTTTCATCATTATTTTAGAGGGCGCTCTTTCTACTTATTAAATGAAAATGTTGGCCGATAACCGGGTGCTGGTTGCACCGGCAGCAGCCTCCTGCCCAGAGTCTCTTGACGGCATCCTGTTCTTGTGTGTGATTTAATCTCACGGTGGCCCCTCCGCGCCGATGTGATGAAACCGCCGAGGGATGCGTTTCTGAGAACGTGTACCATCGTTAGGTGCCCCGTGACCGTGACTGTAAAAGGAAAGAAAGATGAGGAACTTAAAATCTCAGCCTTCGAAAAATACCTCTGCCAGACGTAGCGGATGACTGTAAAGAGCAGCGACGAGACAGCTGGACTAGTCTGGAGCTGCCCTGGCTCCGTGCGTCTGCTGAACAATTTTACGTTGAGTCCCTCCTATGTGAAATCACTGTTTTTCCAGAATTCAAAAGCGACCCTGCACTGCTTAAAATGCTCTCAAATTAGTACACCTGAGCCGAGAATCTCACCGCAGTTCTGTCCCATGAACCTAAAGTAGGAAACACCCCACCAGAGGGGGTGGCTTCGATCTGGAACCAGCCCCTTTGGGAGGAGGTGGCGGATTCACCAACTCGGCAACGCAGGGGCCTCTCTGGACCAGGGCCACCCAGCGTTGTGGAGTTTCCCTTCATCACGGTCGTGTCCGATAGCACCATTCCCATCATCAGCAGGATCTGTGGTGTTGCGTGGCTGTTCCTTCAGAAGAGTTCACTCTCCGCCCATCGTTGGTGGTAGAGTTATGTTCTTCTCCCTGTGGAACTCCTTAGGGCCCAGAATTCCATTTTAATTTGGAAAGGATGTAGAACACAAGCAGACCCCAAAACTTGTTTTAAATTAGCCACTTCCTCAAAGAGAAGGTTGGCCTTGGGTGGTTGTGATTTCACTTTTTCCCCCTGGGCTTCCATAATGTGGCGAATCAAAATTTGTGTCTTTCCTAGTCGTGAAATTCAGTTTCTAAACGCATTTCCGTATCCAGATGACAAGGCATTAAGTTTGCTCTAATTTCCTGTATGCCACACAATTCATGTCCAGATGCTCTCTATAAATCATCTCCGTTGCCTGTTGCCTTGGAAACTGGAATGACTGGCTCTCATTATTGTTTGGAGAGACTTGAATCGCTGGCAACTCTGTGTCAGTGTGAGATAAGGGAGCGAGGAGCCATTGCTTTTGTTTAGAGTCGTCTTATTTACTTGTAGTACCTGAAGGTCAATGGCGGCTAAAGCAGGGGGGGATCAGACTAAGATACAGAAAGCACAAAGGCATGAATTGTGGAGAGCCACGGTGGCACTGTTTAATTCCACCTCGTTAGAGTCATGAAGGAAGGTTTACCCTTGTAAGACGGTAAAAATGGAACTGAACTCTATTCCATGCTCTGGGAAGTGATAAAGGGGTGTTTTGCAGCTCCCTCGTAGGCGTCGCGCCAGCCTCACAAAAACTTTAATTCATGCTAATTCGTAATGTACATACAATTCATGTTAACTGTAACAAGATTATGCAGAGGTTCAAAGTTATTGGCTCCTGACTTTCAGGTTTATTTTTGTATTTTTTACTAAAAAAAAAAAAAAAGATATTTTGCTCCGCTGAAATAACGGGCCCCAGAGAACAGTTCCCTGGTAGCGTTTGCATCTTCGTTGCAATATACACACGTGTGCAGCTCTTTCGGAGACCTTGCAAAATGTTCCCTTTCATTTAAAAAATTTTATGTAATAGTATCGGTCTCCAGAATTTAATTCCAAGCCTTGCCTTTGCAAACCATGTTAAAAATCACTGAAATACAAAGGCCATATTCTGATCATTGACACCATTTTGAGGATGTGTATTTCTGTCTGGTATTTTGTCTCCCTCCTCCTCCTTCCTCTCCTTTCTTCTTTTTTAGTTGGTCAGATTTCAAATTCCCTTGCTTCATGAAGGATCCCTGTCATTTCAACAAAGGAAGAAATTAATATTTTCTTTAAGTTATAGATATAATGTGTGTAAAAGCCTAGCATCTCAGAGCTAAGCAAACCAGGTTCCTGGTCCATCACGGACTCTCAGCAAGTGCTCCTTCCTTGTATTCTCCTGCCGTGTGGACTTATGTTTGCCAGGTACTATTTGCTAATTGTGCGAGGTAGTTAAGAACACCGTTTTTTGCGGGGCAGGCACCAGCTACACGACCTTGCGCAAACTGATTAACCGCCCTGGGACTCGAGCATCAGTCGGGACGAGACCCGTTTCTCATTCGCTGTGTGAAGATGTGAGGAACTACGTACAGGGCTGGTCAGGGCACGGCGGCAGCTGTTCGGATAGTCGCGTGCACCAGGCTCTTCATCCGTTCTTTCCTGCAGTCCGGGAAATTGCTCGTTACCCCTGTTTGACGGATGTGGGAGTTGAACAACCTCCCTTTGCTTTATCCCGTGCTGCAGCCAGCCCTGCAGCCTCCTGTCTATGAATGTGGTCCTTACCCCCTCATATCTGTCCCCAGAATTGTGTACGCTCTGCTTAAAGCACCCTCTCCTCCTTCCTGGCTTTCCACATTTCACACGTTCTCCAGTGTAAGCCAAGCTAACTCCATCATGCAGTCTTCTCTCATCCTCCAAAAAAGACTGGGAGCAGGAAGTTCTTGGTCTTGCCTTTGAACTCCCATCATCCCTCGCTTTTTTTGAAAGGTGAGAACTCCAAGAGGGCCCAGGCCTTGTCTTCCTAATCTTTGCGACCCCTTGAACTCCCCACACCATGCCTTTCGCAACTCATCTCAGTTTGGTCGTAAATGATTAATGTATCATTGACAATTCTCTTTTCCTTCTTTTTCTTCATTGACAATTCTCTTTTCCTTCTTTGGCTCCATTGATTTGTTTTGGGAACTTTGACCATAACTACTGAATGGAGATATTGAGTTGGTATCAGTGTGATTTTTTATATTACTATTAGTAGTAGTAGTAATAATTAGATTTTATATATTTATTTCTAGAGAGGGGGAAAGGAGGAAGAGAGGGAGGAACATCAGTGTGTGCTTGCCTTTCATGCGCTCCCTACTGGGGACCTGGCCCGCAACCCAGGCATGTGCCCTGACTGGGGATTGAACCAGTGACCCTTTGATTCTCAGGCCAGCACTCAATCCACTGAGCCACACCATCCAGGGCTGATTTTTAGAAGAAATGAGTTGGTTTCACAGAGTTTTTCAGCAATCGTACAGCAATAGAAGCAACAAATAATTCAGTAAAAGGGATTTTGCTTCCATTTTCATTTCAGGTGTTTGTAAGAGATGTTCTATCTACAGTACTCATCGGATGATAATATGCATTTTTCCCATTATGAATTCATTATTATTCAATTTCTGTTTCAAGTAGAGGGGTTCAGGTTTGTGCAGAATCTATGAAATCAGCATCTCAAAAGAAATTTCCTGAAATTTTAGTATGCAAGATGGTGGGAGGTTATTATATTAGCCTCGGATGTCTTTAAGACAAATTCGGTGTTAGAGGAGATTGGAAGCCCCCACGCCGTTGACCTCTGTGAGCCCCAGGAGGTACGCAGAGCTGGGAGACAGGCGCTTGCAGTTCGCCGTTGGCCTCAAGCAGCGCCGAGTGGCATTTGTGGCTTATCCACCTTGGTTTACCATGGAAAACGACGTTGAGAATCAAGTTTGTTTTTCTGCGATGTTGAGAGAAAATGCAGGAAACTGGAAATTGCTATATATTCAGCAAACAGCTGTTCCCTTTATTTTTGTCTAGAAAGGCAAGTATTTCATAAATAAGAACAATAATTACTGTTCTGAAATTGAGGTTCAGTATGGTTTCTTTTCATTGACCACATCTGACGGAAGACTAACAGGATGTTCTCCATCCGCGAATAACAATAGGGAGAACTCACAGTACAAATGGCCTGAGTAACAATGGCAGTTATTAGGCAGGTGTCGTGTACATGCAGATTATTTACTTGTCCATAGACTTACGGAAAATGTAGCATTAAACCAATCAGCCTTATACATTTATACGTATATGTCAAGTAAATGTGTTTGAGAACAGACCTGTCCTTATTAAAAATTATCTTTTATTGTTTTTACCCCAAAGGAACTTGTGGAGTATTACAAGCATCATTCCCTGAAAGAAGGGTTCAGAACCTTAGATACGACGCTGCAGTTTCCGTACAAGGAGCCGGAGCGTTCGGCTGGACAGAGGAGTAACAGAGCGGGCAACGGCTGTGAGTATTGTCACTGAGAATGCGATTTGCTGTCACTTGCGTAGAGGCACAATCACACTAACCATCTTTATTCCGAAGTTTGAAATATAAGCCAATTAATATGCTAATGCATTTTGCAAGGAATTTTTCTTGCCACGTAGAATCAGACAGACCAACGGGTTTATGACCATTTCGAGATACGGTTCTTTGTGCCAAATTAAAAATCATGTTTGTGTTCAGAAATCCATCAGAAATGTAAAGGGTAGGTTAATATGTAAGTTTTGTACTTCTCAGTGACTTCTGCAGTAGCCAAACTCTTTTTAATTTACCCACATTTGCCGTCCTAATGCTGTTGGGGTAGCAGCGTTTAAGCAAGGCCAGCGCCCAGCGCTCTCACCTCGCCTACTGTCTCCCAGCTCCCTACGACTCTGTTGCAGAGATCACTTTCGGAACTGTGTTTCCTTTGATGACAGGTATTTCTAAACGTGCGCCTTGGCCACTTTCTCTCAGAGTGAGTGCGGTGCCAGAAGTGTTCATCAAAGATTAGCACACAGACCAAGAGCAGGTTCTAGATGGAGTGTGAGTTCAAGGCAGAAACTTTTTTCTCATCACCGTTTAATGTCCTATAATCTTCCCGGAGGGAGATGGAGCTTGTAAAGAGACCATCGTGATGAAAAATGTTGGGGATAAAATGTGATTTCATTCTCTTATTTTGATATCTTTTTTTTTTTTTTTTTAAATAAGACTGTTTTGGAGGAGAAATGAATATACTTTTTATTACTCTTAGAATCCTTAGCCTAAGCAAAACTGGAATTTCCAAGGTATCTCAAAAAAGAATTTACATCACAGTAATAGAACTGCAACTTCTTTCCCCCCTAAAAGCCGAAACTGAAAGCGAAACAGGTAATGCTCAGGCTCTAATGACATCAGTACAATTTCATACACTTCATATAAGTAAAAATATGGATAATCTGTCACAAGAGCCGGCAGGGGTGTTTTCATCTGAATAACTTCATGGCTGTTCCTGCCACAAGGATTCGTGGTGAGCGACCCCGCCTGTCCAAGGCAGAGCGCGCCTTAGGTGGGAACCTTAACCACCTGTCGAGTTACCGTCCTGGTTTTAGCCCAGTGTTACCCAGTCATCTTAGATCCTCATATAGGTTGAGGAGTTTCATATTTTTCCATCAGGGGATCCGAGATGACCTCACTCCTAAAGTGACCGGGAAGAAGCGAGCTAGCGCTTCCATCAGCAGCGCCTGCCTCATGGTCTGCACGCCAAGGTCGCTACGTTGCTCCCAGGGAACGGGATTGTGACCTCCGGTCAAGGTTGCGATGCTGACCCAATGCGTTGTTTTCTTGATGCTGACTCTGTATAAAATAGATATTTTCTACAACAGTGGTTGTTTCAGAAGCCCCACGGGGGTTCTGCGGATTCACGGAGGGGCTGTCTCTGGCACGTTCAGCAGGGCGCCATGCGTGGTGAGCACTCGGTGGCCTCTCCAGCTTCTGCCGTTACCGCGCGCTCATCTTCTGACACCGAAAACATTTTCCTGTATTTGTAAGAGTGATTAGCAACTTTGACTCATAGCAATTTACACCTTTGCTGTTAGGATTTTTCAGATACACCTTGCTTATCCCAAGTTTGGTTTGAGGGCGAACCCTTCATGAAAACACCCTTCTGTGCTTGTCCGGCAGTGGGAAGGAGGAACTACTATACATCCTGTACAAAACGCACGTGAAGGATGTCTTTATAGTCCTTACCTCTGCTCGATATCACCCCAGAATAGCTTTTACCAAGAGGTGTTTCCTGGGGACAGTGGTCTGGACAGTGGCACAGGCGAGGACACCCCATTGCTCCTCAGAGGCAGCAGGGCAGACAGGCTGCCGCCGAGAGCCAGCCCGGGTTCCGGGGAGGGGTCGAGGCTGACGTTCCCCCTCCCGCAGCCTGCTGTGGATGCCTATTTTGCTAGAGAATACAGTCCCCCTGGAAATGAAAGCCCCAGAGCATTGCAGAAGGGACTGCCTGCTTCTGTGCTTGTCTGGGCTAGAACACTCCTGGGCAGATGTCCAGCTAGTTTTCAAATTAGTAAAATACGATGCAATTATGACAGAACTCCCTCCTGCCAATGGAGAAAGAAAAAACACACCTAAAAATGTATTGATTGGAATTAAACAGGAGGCCAGAGTGTCGGGCCAGGGGGCACAGGGCGTTTCAAGGTTAGAAGCCCATTGTTGGCAAGGCTGTGAGACTTTTTATTTTTTTTGCCTGTGGAGTGACTTGAGTGTTTCCAAGAGAGAAGAAAAAGAGAGAGAGAAAGTGGCGAGGACAGGGAGAGGTCTCAGGAGGAGCAGTGAGGGGTTGGGGTTCCCTGGAAAGCGCAGCCACTTTGTGGAAGACATTCTGTCCTATCTGGGGCTCTGTAAGAACCCCACTGCCGTCTGGAGTAGCCACAGCAAGGCTGCCTAAGGCTCTGGTGAAGGCGAAGGCTCGTGCCTGTGAAGGGCGCTGGGCTGCCTTCGCCTCCCTTGCTCCACAGAGAGCATGTGGTTATTTCTGGGCCTGCTACCAAGCAGCGGTCCGACCTCAGGCAAGTCGCTTCGCATGCCTGGACCTCGGCTTTCTCATCTGATGACTGAGGAGTGAGACTAGATATGTTCTTTCACGCTTTTGCAGATAGAATCTTAGATTTCTTTCTTTGTGTACATGAGAGGAGGAGGTAAAGAAGAATGTTAACAGACCAATGACACCAGGAAAAGTTGCACCGTTAGCTATTTCGTAACACGTAAGCAGACCTCAAACGTTTTCTCCCGTTCTTATTCATTGGAGCCACAGAGTAGAGTTGGCTACTTAAAAACGCAAATGCTGGTTATCATTATATTTAGATAATCTCAATGTATCTTCTCCCAAGAACTTATTAGTTGTAAAGGGAGAAATAGAAACCACTTAGTCACGTGATCGCAGTTAACATCAATAATGGGACAAGTAGATACCGTGCGTCTCCCAATGTGATTCCCTAAAACACAACAGCACTTCGGTGGGAGTCCTGTTCCCGAAATGTGTTATTTGAGTTTAATCATGAGAAAACACGGAACAAACCCAGATCGAAGGGCATTCTACCCAGCAATTGGCCTGTGTTCTTCAAAAGTGCCAATGTCATGAGAGGCCCAGGGAGACTGAGGAATTGTTTCAGATTCAATAACACGGAAGAGACATGACAACTGCCTTCTACAGGGGGACCCTGGATTGACTCCAGGACCAGAAATAGAGACATCATGTGTTTTTCTATGAAGGACATGCACGGCGCAACGCTCAAGTGCTGAATTAGTTTCTAGATTAAGTAATAGCATTTTTTGCTTGTGATAACTGTTCTGTGACTATATAAGAAGAAACGGCCTTTTGTTTTTAGGAAGGACATACTGACATAGAAATAAACATCATTCTGCCTGCAATATATTGTAAAATTGATCATAAAAACTCAGAAATTGGGAAGGCGAACATAGGAAAATGTTAACATTGGAGGAGGTTAAGTGAGAGTCTATGGGAATTCTTTGCATCATTCTTGCTGCTTTTCTCTAGGTCCAAATTACTTCAGAATTGAAAGTTTAATAACTGGAGAGGACCCCAGGAGGTGGACAAGCCTAGCAGAGCCACCCCCTTTGTCACCTGCCCCAGGTGCAGGGGGCTGGGCGCACTGCTTTGGGGGTATGGAGAGCACCGGTTGGTTCTGTTTGAAACCATGTCTCCCTTGCCTGTGGCCCCATTGCATTTGCTCATTTATTCATTCATTGTTTTATTCAACAAATATGTATTCCGTGCACCAGGCCGTGTGCTGGATGCTCGAGTTATAATAGCGACTACTTGGTGGACAGGAACAAACACAAACAAGTAACTTCATAAACGACCTCAAGTTTGAATAAGCCTCGCGAAGCAGAAGGTGGGGGAAGAGTATGCAAGGGGGCTCATTTAACCTGTGGGCGGTGGGGGGAAGGGTATTCTGAAGAAGTGACATTTAGGCGGAAGGAAAAGGCCCTGTGTGGGTGGCAAGGTGAGGGGTGGTGGCAAGTAGGGAGACAGCCACTGCAAAGAGGCAGCTCGTGAGCAGGACCTTAGGCAGGAAGGGACCCCATATGTATAGGGAATTGGAAGGCAGCCGATGTGCTTGGAGCCCAGTGAGTGGTTTCTAATGTGTGCCATGGAAATATAGTAAAGCTTTATAAGCAGAAAATGACATCACCCAATTGACATTGTCTTAAAAGACCCCTGGTGCCCTGGCCAGTGTGGCTCAGTTGATTGGAACATTGTCCTGTAAACTGAAATGTTGCGGGTTCAAGTCCTGGTCAGGGCACATGCCTAGGTTGTGGGTTCGATCCGCAGTTGGGGATCGTACAGGAAGCAACAGATCGATGGTTCTCTCTCTCCCCCCTCCTTCCTTTCCTCTCCCCCCCAAAAAATGTCCTCGATTGAAGATAAAAAAATAAACAAACAAAGGATGACTGGCTACTCTGTGGGGGGGCTCTGGGAAGGAGGCGTGGGCAGAAGAGAGAAGAGTGAGGACGTGACTGCAGGTGCCCACGGGAGGCGCGAGGGTGGCGTTGGTGACAGTGGAGCGTGACAGTGGCAGTTCTCAGTTATTCCAGAGGAGAAATCAGTTGGAGAGAGGAACTGGGGTGGAATTAGTACAGGTATGATATGGAAGTACCTGCCTTGGACAGCTGGCCCGCGGGGAAGCCACCGACAGACCGGGAAACAGAAGAGGTGTAACAGACTTCGGGGGAAAGTGACATGTTCAGTTTTGCACGCAGTTTTTGGTCCCCGTGCCTACTCGATAGCTCAGTAGGTAGTTGGCACCAAGAGGAGGGGCTGGGTTGAGACAGAGTTTTATGAATCATTAACGCTTCATTCCATAGTTTACATACAATATGCTGTGCGTATAGGTTTAATTATTTCATTTGGGGCAACGTTCCCAGAAGCCCCAGGAACCGGCGGCCTCCATTGCTGCTGCTTCTCATGTTGCACTTCG